GCACTAACGCTTCGGGTGGACTACTTAAATAGGCAACCAAAAGTTGTACATGTGACTAGTTGTACTCTCGTTATACTGATGTAATATGTAAACCAGTCTACGAACGGCCCACCCGTTTGAACTAATAAAGTGCCAGGGGCCTAAGTGGTTACCTCAATATTAAAAAAAAAAAAAAAAAAAAAAAACAACTAATAAATATAATTAATAATAATAGGGAGATCTAACAGTATCTGAAAATGATATACCAATCGATGCTCCACAAACAACATTAAATTGGATGATCAAATATATTAATTCCTCAAATATTAAACAAGTTAACATTATGTTTTGTTGTTACAAAATTGGAAACATATTTGTTTCTGTCTTTCTATTATCCAAAATAGAATTATTTGCTGACACTTTTTTCAAGTGATGTTAACTATGAAAAAAGCTTATTTCTACATTAGACTAATTTCAACATGGTAGTATAGTGAAAGTAAAACTGGTTTAGAAAAACTATTTTTGTGAGCAGATAAGTATATACAAAATATTCAAAATATAATATATAGTTCTAATTATTCAATTATATATCTATGTTGTTTTGATCAAGATTGTAAAGACTTCGTAAAGAAAGCTTAACTGTACTTCAACAGAAAACTACCTATAAAAAACTGTATAGTGCATATAAAAAAGCACTTAATAAGAATTTACAAAATAATTTACAATCACAAAAATTTCTTAATTTACTTCAAGAATTTGTTGAAGATTCTAGTAAGCAATCAGATTCTACTAAAAGTTTACAAGCTGATAATGCAAGTAATAACGGTAATAATTCCATAATGCCTCAATTAAAAAATCCCAAGAAACATTATGGAAGAGGATGACTATGAGATACTAAAAGGATTAAAGCATCATATAAAGTCTTTAAACCTAAAATAGTACACCAACGCCAATGCAAGAAATGCAAAAATACTAGTTACTACCAAAATAATTGCAAGGTAATGTTTATTATATATATTTTTTACATTACTTTTATAGTTATTATATTGACCTTAAATGATTTTGAAATATATAATTATAGCATAGAGTAAAAAAGTATCTCTATTTGTTAAAACTGGGTAGTCTTTATTTACTAATTTAATTTGATATCTAATTTTTATTTAATAGATATAATAAAATCAATTTAAAGCTGCATTACTACAATTAAACTATGAAGAGTTGAAATGAAATATTCAAGAACCTATTTTATTTGATAGATCTTAAAATGAGCAATAGATATTAGGACTTCATTTGGATATTTACAAAAAAAAAAAATTGTTGTGATTGTTTTCTCTTTCTAGGGATTTATAATGTATTGCAGCAGTGATATATCACCATTTTTCAATTAGCTAATAAAACTCGAATATTTATAGTAATATAACATATATATGTGAATTAATATAATTCTGAACCTGTTAATTGGTTAATTAGCATGTGGCGATATACCGCCAGAGCAAAAATTATAATTTGAGAATTGCTTTCAAACATTAATTGTATATCACATGATAGTGACTAGCATTATATCGCTAGTGCAATAAATTATAAAGTTCTTACAGAAATTTTATGGATCCAATACAATATATCTTACAACTATATATTAACTATTAAAACCTAGGTGAGTCTTAATCACTCTAGTAGGTTTAGATCACAGATAACTAGTTTAGCCAAAATTCTTTGCCTTGGTAAAGCATTTAGTTGAGCTTTTAGTCTGAGCTCTCATTTTTGTATATAATTTATATTTATTTGTTTGTATACAAATTAAGTTTTATATAGTTTTTATGTAATTACTTGTATAAATTACCCAATAAAGGATATAATAAGTAAGGCCTCATCTTAACAACAAAAAAAAAAAAATTTTAAAAAATTATATAAAATTTAAAATTTTTTATATATAAAATTTTTAAATAAAAGTTCAGACAAGTAGGTCATTTTTTTTGTCCCATGTTATAAGAACCAAAAAATTAACTTTGTATAACCTTACATCACAGAGATATATATAATTATATCAAATTTGATTTAGAATATTTCTACTAAAAACCTGCTATTTCTTTATTTTATTAGATAAACAACTCTATAAATACTAAAGTAAAACTATAGTACTACTTTTTCAAGTTGGAATGATAGTATTGTCTTTTAATCTATTATGCATTTTATATTACTTTTAAATCAGAATTTAAAAATATTATGCCTCAACTATTACATTGTAGCCTAACTTGGTACTTGGAAGTTACTTCTACATATCTTCTACTCTTATTAGGTTTACTCTAACTCTGATACTCATTTCTTATTTAACATTTTAGACCTATTTTAAGAGCCTTTATTTTCTAATCTAGTTAGCCCAGAAGGGTTAATTTTATTTAGGCTTCAGATATCTTATTGTACTCTTCTCTTAGTGCATAATTCTGAAACATATATCTTTTTCTTTCAATATGACTTCAGTAGTTAGATTGGTGTAATAGTGAATTTAGAAGAGTTATAAATTTCAAACTATAGTTTATTTCTTATATATGTATTTTCAAATCTGTAATACTATCAAAGTTAGCTGCTACTCTAATTCATAATTTTCCAAGTGGGTTCTTAGTTTATTAACACTTGAAATTTATATAATTCTGGAGAACTTTCTAGGAAATAACCTCTAGTACAACTCAAACAATAGATTTTTTAGTTTGGTATTCTGCAATTATCATAATACAGGTCTATTTTTCAAAATCATTATCTATAAAATTCAAACAATGAATCTATATCTTGATAAGAGTGAAACTAGACTATTTTACTAAGTTACTATATTTCTATTATAATTTTAGTCTTTTTTTTATTTAATACTAGTTGTAAACCCATGCAATAATGTACAAAAATAAACTTAAATTTTTAAATATAATTTTAAAATAAAATAAATATATAGTAAAACTTTTATAATTATTAAGCTATAAACCTGTGTAATGTATAGAAAAGATTTAATATAAAATAAAATAAAAATTTAAATCTAAAGCAAATTAATTTAAATAATTTTATCTCTAATATAGACTATAATTTGGTTTTGCTTAATTTTAATTATTAAAACTAAAAATTTATTGTTTTTTAAATATTTTAGAATCTAGTAATTAAAATTAAATAAACTCTTTTTTATTGAATACGCCTCACTGGGAGCTTTTATTTAAAAAAAATTCATTTAGATTGGACTGCTAATTGCTAAGATAATTACAAAAAAACTACTTTTTATATATTTTGAACCCAAAATAGGTTACATTAAACCTGAAGTAGATCTACTTTGAACCCAAAGTGAATCTGATTATAGTTTCTTTAAGTTTATGCGAGAAGTTATTAAGTAATGATATCTTCAAGCTCTAAGTAAAGTTGTAGAGGAGATAATTCTAAATCAAATAGTAGTTAGATTATCAAAATTGGGCTAGTAGTTATTGAGATATGTGGGATTAAAGATCTAAACATAAGGATTAACAAAATTAATACTTTGTGTAATATAGTCAGAGGATTTACCGAATTAGAAAATCTGATTCTAGAATGATCCATGTGCCGGATCTCAGATTTGATTGGTTCGTATATGCCTTTTGGTCAGCATTCTTTGGGAATTTTTTATATCCAAATTTTTTTACTAAACTTTATGAATAAACGCATAAGTAGATAGAAAAAAATGTGTAGTTTAAATAATCAAAAATAATCAGCGCCGATCAACTTTCATCAAAAGAGTAAATGAGACTCGAAGACTTGCAAGTTTTTATGTTTGTTTAGAATACCGGTGAACGAAAACTCAAGAGCTTCGTCACAATCTTTGATAACTAAATAGAGATTACTGAACAAAAAACTTTACTATATATGTATTATTTAATATACTGTCTATTTGCAAGCATTATTTATTAACTGAATCCTTATACATTGCCTTTTCAATTTTGTAGATTTAAAGTCATTAAGCATAAAAATCATTTGAATAATAGGCTTTTTAGGTTTAGTAACCTCTAATTTTGTACTATTGTTATTGATTTAGTTGTTTGGTATAAAAACCATTTATTAATTGATTAAAATAAGCTACTTTAATTACAAGCTTTTACCTCCTATAAGAGAGATATTAAGAACACTCTTTGTCAGTAATCAAAAAATAGACCAGACCCAAGATCTAGTACTATACACTTCTACAGCAATTATTTCACTGAAAGTTTACTTAATCGGCATAACATAACATAGAGCTAGAGTTAATGTTTATTAGTTGTAGATATATTGTAATTAAATTGTTGTTTGAAGTGGTGTCAGCTAAATAAGCGATTGATACATACATAAGAATGAAATAAATAAATAAAATACATGGGCGAATAAATAAATAAATTAATAAATAAAATACATAGGCAAATAAATTAATAAATAAAAGTCAAGTGAATAAAAATTTAAATATAAAAAAATTAATAATGTTCAGTATATACGTAGTATGTATAAAAGAAACTTTTTGCTTACCCGATACTACGTAGTATAATCCTTAATTGATTTGATTAGTTAATGCTTTTAATGATCAACATAATTGAAATTTCTAGAAGCATTCAATTACCATAATAGGTGCGATCAGCATTGTCCAAATGCAGTATATTCCCTGACTGTAATTTTTATATAAAAGGCATTAAGAGAATCTTTTGCACTCATTGTATTTTTTTTTTTTTTTTTTTTTTTGGCAAAGGTGACTTTAATTATCAGCAAGATTTTATTAGACAAGTATTAAACACTATATATTATAACGAAAGTATATCAAGCTATACGTGCACCTTTTGAGTGTCTATTTAAGTAGTTCAGCTGAAGATTCTATACTATCTGCTATATCTGTACCCAACTAGAGGGTATCTATTTAAACCTTTTGGTCTTAACATATTCGGTCTAACCCTACCTAATGCAAATATAACTCACTATACGGGTAGTAGATTTTGTGACACTACTACATTTACTAGCCAACTTAGAACACTTAACTAACCTCAAGAGTAAACCCAACAGAGCAGTATATATTCTATACATGTATTCATCTGCATGTTTGGCAACTTCTTCCTAACTACATCAGCAAATTTAATAGGGCGTAATATTGCGCAATAATTTACGAAGCATAAGAAAACCGTAATATTACGTAAAAACTTTCGCAATATTGTGAAATATACAATTACGAAATATTACGTAAGATTAT